TTAAGCCCCAGGACTCAACGGCTCGCAACGCGATCGTTGGCCCAGAAGCCTCTCCTCTTTTCAGGTTGTAGCCCTCGGTCATGGAACTAGCAAGGGGAAACCGCTCTGGGGAAGAGGTCAGTATTGGATTAACTCCTGCGCGTTGCGTGGAGAGGAAGGAGGGACAGGGACCACGCCAAAGAGGAGAGAAAGTAGAAGGACCGGCCAACCGTGTTGGTGAATGTAACCTCAGCGTAGCCATGCCTGGATGAGGACGGTGCAGCTGACACATGGAGATGACCCAGGCAATGAAACCAAAGTGCTCTGAATTCTGCCAGGGTCAGAGTCCACGGACACAAGTTACAGCACCGTTTGGGCTTTCCAGGACTGGAGCGAGGCCTTGCCCTGGGCGTGGGGCATGATCTAACATAAAAAACGTGTCAGGCCCACCCTTGACTCCACTAAGCAGGACCAGGACTCCTCTTTGGCTTCATACCTCAAAAAAGAGTGGGTTTGTGAGGTTCCCACTCCTCACCACCACCCGGAAAGCTGGTTGTCTTCTTGCCTGAACCTTGGTTTAGCCCCAAGCCCCAACCTGAAGCTCAAGAAAAGCTGGATACAGATGCAGCTCTCTTGATCCTCCCTCAGCTCTGTCCCCCAGCCTCTGGGGGTCCCTCCCAGCCAGCACTCCCCAGAGCCACCCCATCAGTCAACCCCCACTGAGCCCGACACACTGGGTCAATGCACGGGACATGCTGACCCTCCCTCCTGCCCACAGAGGTGGGACTCCATGTCATTTAAGCCTTTCCTGCTCAACATTCACAGCTGCAAAACCAGCAGGCAAACTCCCGACTTCCCAAAACTAGACACCAGGCACCTACCCGCTCTGTCCTCCGGTCCGCCCAGCTCTTGGGGTGGCAGCTGCACCCGCTAAGGACAGGTTCTCCTTTTCAGGACATTGCCCCTATATTTTAAGACGTGAGGAGACATTCTTTGGGGCCAATTTTCTGTTTATTTTTCTGTCTTCTGAAGTGGGTCAGGTCCCTCTGTTGCCCCCCAGCAGGAGGTCAGCCCGCTGCGCCCATCCCCGGCCCAGCTCCCTGGGAACACGGCGCCGCAGGATCCCCCTGACAGAGCTGCCCCGGGGGGAGGCACCCGACGACACTTTGACTGGCAGAGCGAAGCGCGACTAGTGTTTGTTTGGATAGTCAGGGGACTTGGAACAAATGTCTCCAGCTTACGCTGGTTTAGATAAAAGGATGCTGGCCTCGTCACAGGATCGACGGGGCTGGTGAGAAACCACTCCTGTAGACCCCTCTGCCCTCAGACCCTTTTAAAACAGAAAAAATCATCATCATAACAACAATTATTATTATTTAGGTTGGAAAAGACATTTAAGATCGAGTCCAACTGTTAACCTAGCACTGCCAAGTCCCCCACTAAACCATGTCCTTAGGAGCCACATCTACACGTCTTTTAAGTACCTCCAGGGAGGCGACTCCACCACTTCCCTGGGCGGCCTGTTCCGGGCTTGACAACCTTTTTGGTGAAGAAATGTTTCCTAATATCCAATCTAATAATAATAATAATAATAATACTAATAGCAGAACGTTTTCACAATTCAGAGATTCTCACTCCTTTCTGGACCCGGGTGCACTGGGGTGCCAAGAGCAAGGTCAGGGATTGGGGCTGCAAGTTTGGGCTGACCCGTGATCCAGGTGACCAAAAGCTTGGGGCATTTTGCAGCTTGGTACCTTGAGTTTCGCTTCCCTGCCGACCCGGCGGAGCGGCCCGACGCCTGGCTAGGGGGGAAGAGCCGGCTGGATGCGGCAGTGCCTGGAGCAGGGGGCTGGGGGGGACAGGGACCGCCGCATCCGCATCCATCTGGCGTACTGAGGCAGTGAATGAAGGAGAAGGAAGGAGGGGGTGGGTAGAAGAGAAAATCCCAAAGATCCTCAGATAATAAGCACCATTAAGGTTAGTCTGTCTCATGATTGTTTCTTATTAAAAAGAGACTGTACTTTATCTGTGCAGGATATGCTGTTTGGATGAGGGAATTAGCAGAGTGACTGCCTCCATATCATCTAATTAGCAAAAATGTTGATAAGCAGATACAATCACATATGATTAGGATCCTTTTAAAAAGCCACTCCATTAATTAAATAGACAGAAAGGCCGCCTCCAGCCCTCGCGTGCCACTGATTAGAATACAAATATTTACACTAATCTCACCTCCATCAGCCATGGGACACTTTTGAGTATTTTTAGTGACATCAGATTACTATTGATTTTCATCCCCAATGTCAGACCATTTTGTTAGTATCTGAAAGTGCTGCCTTCAGTTTCGGATGCTTTAAATCATGTTAAGGGTTTATCTTAATGACGCTGCTGATAACCACTGTTCAGGTCACTCGTACTTTCTCTTCAAAGAACACAGTCTGGGCTGGTTTTTATTGTTTGTACTTGAGATTTAAGATACGAAAAACATTTCTCATTTCAAAGCCTTGGTTTCTAGGGATGGGGCTGCCAGGCTAGTTTGGGTCTAGTTACTTGATGTGTGCATGTCTCTCTCATTTCCCTTTCTCCCTGCCTCTCCTCAACCCTTTCTTTTTTCCTTGCAAGCCCTTTTGGCTCACAGCAGTGGCCTCTCATGAATGGCTGCTAATCTCTGACGCCTGCTGCAGGCAGCAGACAGACAGGCAGTGAGCGTTCTCCGTTCAGGGATGACAGGAGTAAAACACTCCCTACTTTTCAGATGGGTAGGATGCACTAAATCCAAGGCAGATAATCCAGTGCGCCAGCCAGTCTGAGACGGGCTCTCGGCATCAAAAGCAAGTGCGGGAGGAGACGCTTTGCAAAGAGGCAGCATGAGGCAGAGTCGTCTCTTTCCTTCCGTGCCCAGCCCCACTCCCTGCAGCAGATAATGGGCCTGGAACCCTCCAACAGAACTTCTCCGACATCCCATTTCCCCATCTGGGTGACAGAGAGTAGGAACAGCGATTGCTCATGAAATTTCTGCCACCCACCCGCAAATGGACCACGCTGGCAGCAGCCAGAAGCTGTTGGCACCTTTTGGTGGCTTGTGGGTGGTGGTGAGCTTGCATCACCCTCAAGGCCAACGGACAATCATAAAAAAACCCCAAACCTAGCCTAAATAAATAAACCCTTTTGGTGAAGATTTCAAGCAAAGCCCCACAGTGCGAGCAAGCCGCGGAACCTTCACACTCCCTGGCTGTGGAGGAGTCCTTTGGGGTGCTGCGGGAGTGCAAAGAGCTCTCTGAATTCAAACGGGCAGCAGCAGTTTCTGCTGTGCCCAGATTAACTTTCACCATTGCAGAAACAACGCCCGGCAGAAAAATCATTCACGTGGCACCACTGTCCTGTAGCTGAGGCCTCTGTGAAAAAGCAGGCAAGAGCCAAGATCTCCCCAACGAGATGAGCCCATGGGACCATGAGCTCCTTCACTGCTTTGCACGTCCTTCAGCTCCAGCCCTCAGACCAGCACCACGCTGCCTTACATGTAGCAACTTTTACTACCACAACATGACAAGTACCTCCGTACTACTGACCCACCAGCGAGAAAACCAGACAAAGCCCTTCCCCAACGTGCATCAGCTCAGTTCCCTGCCCTCCTCTGCCACATTGCTTCCCAGAGGCTGACATGGCTGCCCCTTGCCTCCGCGGCCCCCCACGTATGATGTATGTTAGGACAGCAGCCAGCTCATACGCTGCACACATGCTCTTTGGTCTGGCCGGCTCTTGATTCCTTCCCAAAGTGTGGGATAATGGAAACGAGGGCAGAGATCGGCAACACATGCTGCCATTAGTGGGTGTTTACGACAGCGTGTTACAGACAGATGAGTTCTTGTTCCTAGCACTTCCTTGGAGACCTCCTTCATGCAAGGATTGCCTGTGAGGATATTGCATTTCCCACAGGAATGGCGAATCCAGGGAAAAGAAACAGATGCAGGATAACCCCAGACTGGATCATCAAAGTTCAGCGTCTCAGGCTGAACTTGTCTGTGTTGTGTTCATGTGGTATCCTGTCATACATGCATCTACCTTAGGACAGATACCCCAAAAAATCACATAGCAGAGGCTAAGGTTGCTAATGAGCTTCATTCTGGGCATTCCTGCTGGTCCCAACATGAGCGCTAAGCTCTTCCAGAAGAGTTCAGTTTGGCTACAAACTCAGAAGAGACCATGATGATCACCTACGCATGATTTTAGCATAAAGGGCTCAACACTGGGTGAAGATGCCCACATGAGGAGCTTCCAGTGACTCGTTACCTTCATAATGAAGGACGTGCCACGTATCTGGAGTTTGAATTTGGCTAGTGCCACCTCCCGACTGCTTCGTCCGGGAGCCTGAGGATCCCTGTGCCACTGAATTTCTGTTCCCACGTGGGTTCTTACAGACTATGGCAAAGCTGGCACTGAACCTCCTCTCAATACTAAGACACTTTCCCTGAGTAGCTGCCTCCAAAGAGTATTTCCCAACCCTTAATCACATTTTATGGCTCTTCCTGGAGCCTTCTCCAACTTATCAATGCTTTTCCCAAACTGTGGAAAGCCAAACTGCAAGCAGCTCTCCCATAGCTGTTTTTGTATGCCTGGCAGGGGCGATACGACATCACCACACTGCGCTTCCCTGGACTGCAGACAAACCCACTCACTGACAGTCCCACCCTCGTGCAGGTACAGGCGAAACACAACCTGAAAGTCCCACCCTCGTGCAGGTACAGGCGAAACACAACCTGACAAAGTCAGACGTCACAGCTGTGACATCACAGCTACAGCAGGCAACTGCACCAGCTGTAGGATCGACCCTTAAGGCCAGCAACAGCCAACTCTGCCCTAGAAGGAAGCCGGGTCAGCTGAGCACTGGTTGGCTGAGCCCGCTCTGAGGTCACAATCTCACCATTTGTGAACAACGGGCTTAAAAGAATCCAAGGATCTTGCCAGGCAGCGCTGTGTAGCCTTGGGATTCAGAAGGACGGAGCAGAGCGAGGGAGGAACTGAGCATCTCCCACTCCAGAGGAGCACAGCGGCATCAGGGCTCCAGGAGTCTGCACACTGCTCGGCCCGGGGGTTCAGGTCCCTGGTGGGAGAGAGGTACCAGGCATCTTCCAAGCAGCCTCACCTTTCCTCCGAGATGGTGGATTATTACAAAGTCCTTGGGCTGCAAAAAAATGCCTCACAGGACGATGTTAAGAAATCCTACCACAAACTGGCACTAAAATGGCATCCTGATAAGAATCCCGGCAACAAGGAGGAAGCTGAGAAGAAATTTAAAGCAGTTGCTGAGGCATACAAGGTTTTGTCTGACCCTCAGAAACGACTGTGCTACGACAGGTCGGTTAAGGGGAGCAGATCCCACAGAGGGCGCGCCACGCAGCATCGTGCCAGCTTCTTTGAGTCCACTTACGTACTGCATGACCCCGAGGACATCTCTAGGGAGATCTTTGGAGGGATGGATCCCTCTTTATATGCTTTCTGGTACCCCTCAGACAACATCAGAAGCAATGGTGAAAACTGGCACAGCAGAAGTGGAAGAAGCTCCAGCTGGTTTTCCGACTTTATGGAGCCATTTATGCCACAGAGTTCGTTCAGCGCCGGTGGGCAGCACACCTTCTCCTTCGCTGAGGCCACAGCTTGGCCACACGGTGCCAGATCAGCGTCAACCACTACTGAGGTGATCAATGGCAAAAGGATCACCAAAACGGGCAGGAGATCATAGAAGTGGAAGAAGATGGCCAGCTGAAGTCTGTGACAATAAACGGGAAAGACCACCTGAAATTATGATGTCCCCAGCACAAGCGTTAACTGCACCTGTGGGACATGCTCTCGGTCCACGGACGGGATTTACTCAAAGCAATAGTAATAAATTCTGAGTTCATGACACAACCGATGTAGACTCCTCAATGGTTGGGAACAAAGACTTCAGGGGTAAAGGGACAGAGTTATGCTAAACCAAGGAGTGGGACTCCACTAACCCCGTGTGAGGTGACAGTGCTTGCTCAGTAAATAGGGATAGCAGACACATGGCAGAGCAACCTTGCTAGTTTGCCAAAGAAATCCAGCTGATTAAGGTAGCAAGAGGAGACAGGCTGCCTGGTGGGCGGGTAGGAGAGCTCTGTGACAGGCTATAGGTGCCCTTCCCACTCCTAGAAATGCCAGCATTGAGGTCTGCCAGCTGGAAGAATAAAGACTTGCCTGACCCTCATACACAACCCTGAGGCTGGGTGTGGATCACACTCACACACCTTCAGTGCGTGGAAAGATGCACATCCATTGGAAAAGTTTTGGTACAGGCAAGAAGCGGGGGGGGGTGGTGCGGTTCAGTGGGTGATGCAGAGCCGAGAGGAGAGGGACTGACATAGGAAAAAACAAAGAAAGGAAGAAAATGTCATTCCTCAGACTGCAGAAGGAAATAATGGGGGCTTTCTTGAGAATGCCCTGCGAATTGTGAGCAGAGACCCTGCTGGAAGCCCTGCACATCTTGGGGGCTGAAAGGGAGCAGAGAGAAGGTGAATTTGGCTCTGGGACTGGGACAACCTATGGTCTCTTTCTGCTTGGAGCTGTTCAAACAAAAAGAGCTAAATTCAAGCCATGAGCAAACAGATTCCAGGGGGCTGAGTTTAGCTCCCTCTTTGTGCAAGGCTGGGTGCGGGGAATTAGATGGTGCTTTACCATCCTTATTGTCTTGCTCACAGCTGCAAGAGCCAGCTCACAATGCATTTCTTGCACAGCCTGCCAGCGTGCTGCTTTCGTCCTCCACTGAGCTAAGGAACGCGCTCCCCACGTTTCCGCCCTCCCCTGTGCTGACATGAACTGCTGAGCCTTGTTTCTTGCTTGGCCAGATCACCTTAGGCGTTTAAAATCTTACACGCCTCTTATTTTCGGTCCCACGCTACATCCCCTCGAGTTTCCCAGCTTGCCCTACCCACTGATGTCTCCCTGGAGACTGGAACTTGCTTTCAGGGACATTTCCACTCTAATCCAGATTGCAATTGCTGCCTGTATTTGGGCAGGTCTTTGCATCTGTTTCCTCTGCTGCAAAATGGGAATAACAGACTCCCATGCTTTGAAGGAGACGGTGAGGTAGTGATGCTAGTAAAGGACTGGGAACATTAAGCAGTCAGTTAAATTAGGCAGAACACTGCGACCCCTTAATCAAAACTTTTTAATTCTGAAAAGAAAAATGCAGCTTAAATCACCTTCCTTAGCAGCTGATGCCATGCCCAGCTTGGTAAGACAGGCCCAAACTGTATTTGTTATGTCAAGGGCTGTGAAGCCCCTTTGAGTCCCTCTCCCAGGGAAAAAAGACACAGCACTAGGAGGGAAGTAGAAGGTGAAATGCAAGGTGGGTTCACGGCGGGGGGACAGCGGTGACAGGAGCAGGAGAAACCGCGGTGCAGGGACAAACTGCGTTTGCTGCTCCTCCACAGTCTGGGAGCCACCAGCAGTGCTGCAGGCACCGGGACTCAGGACTGCAAAGATTGAAGGGGCTTGGTACAGAAAGATGATTTTGGTCAGAGCAAACGTAAGTAAAATACTTCTACCAACACTCTCTCTGCAAACACCACGTTCATGTGAGAGAGCTTCTTGAATTTACCTTATGCTACTTTGGAGAAAGTCCAAGGAAAAAATAAAAGGCACCAACAAAAAAGCCCAAACAACAAAAAACCAAACTGCACGTTCTGAATCGGGAAGTGAAATGGTCTTTGATCAAAATAACCTGTTCTGAAATCTGGACCAGAGTTGAATTCCCAGGTCCTCCAGCTTTCAGCTTGCTAGGGCTAAAACTTTGCTTCACTGTTGTCTCTAACGGGATATTTTTATGTATGCACATAGTATTTCTTGATGTGGGATCAAGACACACAGGTCTACACGACACGCAGGTCTGCACTCACCTTCGACCCGTCCTGCCTTGGGTCAGCAGCTCCCTCTCTCCTGTCGGTATCTAAGGCAGCAGCTAAGCGCAAGCACTTGCTTCTCCCGTGGTGGGCCAGCGCTGCCACGGCCTCCTGCAGCAGCAGCAAGCTCCTGGGGCAGCTCTGGCACCCGCACGTCCCCAGACCTGCTGCTCCCATACAGGAGCGTAGACGGGGAAGGGACCCTCACCGGTCAGCGTCGAGGCCAGGAGAACCTGCAGCTCCTCTCCCACGTCTCCCCGCGCGCTGCAGGCCACAAAACACCTCCCGGCGCTTTCTGTGAACAGAAGATCTGAGATTTTTTTTCTTTTAAAGAAGGACAACCGTGAAGGTCTGGTGGTAAGGGAGCAGGCCGGGCTGCGTTAGGGAGAAACCCAATAGCCAGAAATCTGCCAGGTGAGCCCAGACCACCCGCGGGAATGGTTGGACCTTCCCCTGCTTTGCCACAGAGGAAGATAAACGAACCCCAGCCAGGCTTGCCTTGGGAGAAAACCCTTGCCTGTCCCAGGACATGGGATCAGACTAATAACAACACCTCCAAGGAGGTTTTTAAAGCTTTTTCTCATGCCATTTAGCAGCTGCAGTGCTGGAGGGGGCAGCACCAGATGTCCAGCCACAGCACAACCCAGGAGCCTTTGCCCTGCCCCGTTCCAGCTCTCTGTTCCTCTTCCAGACACTCACCTTCCCTCTGCAAAGCTGCATTCTGGGACCCTGCCTGGTCAGTGGTGTCTGTCAGGCGTGTGCGTGGCTGCACGTGCTTGCACGCCCTCGCACGTGCACTCGATCCGCCTCCAGCGGCAGAGCCTTTCCGATGGGAACCATCCCTGGTCCTTCCAGCCCCGCTGGGCGCTACGGGCTCACTGCGCGGCCCAGCTCTGCCCCAGCACATCACGCCGGGGGCAGTTTGCAGCTTCCCGGGGACCTGCAGTGCCGCGGCCCCGCGAGGAGCCGGGAGCGGAGGCGGCTCCAGCAGCGCCGCCTGCACACAGAGGCTGAGGCATTATTTTATTAGCAGGCCCCACAACTACTTTAATGTGGGCTTAGGCTGCAAAAACAAAAACATACATAAAAGCATTTGGAATTACTTCATAAAATACTAAATCACAATATTAACCGACTGACCTTTGCTCTATGCAGACCTGCTAATTTTAGCAATTACAGCCAACAACTTGAACATATCAAGTGGGCAACTGTTTAACAATAATGACATCTGCTTGGAAAATCCAATTATGTCTAAACATCTTTAAATCCCCACTAGGGGATACCTGCTTTCTTTTTGCAACTGTTAGTCTCTGCCTAATAGGATTTTAAACTCACAGCCTGCTGCACACTGCGGTGGCAGCGGCCCCTCTCCCTGGAGTGGCAACAACAGGGCCGCCACCCCATTAGGCGGGGAGCGAGTCTCTCCTCGGACAGTAATGGAAGCCGTTTGGTTTCCTGACAGCCTAATCTGATAGACGGGTGCATTAGCTGGATCCCTTCGCTCCCCCCGTCGATACTGCTCCTCTCCGCAGAGCCCCAGGGCTGGGCACAGCCAGGGCTCATCTCTGCAGGCTGTTTCTCGGGAGGGACCTCGTACCCAGATGGGCTTTGCAGACATCGGCGCCTTCTGGGGGGCAACCGACACGAGATTTCCTTCCCCCCGTACTGTCCTCACCACACACAAACTACATTTGCTTTCTAGGTTGACCTCTGTCGCTTTCCTCTACGCATCTCTCTTCTCTCTTCCTTCCCCCTCCGCCCTCAGCTACTCAAATCCCTGCTTCGGGGGTGAAACTTCAACACGGATCTGTTCCTCTCTAACAGGAACCCCTAAAAGACAACAGCTATGCAGTGGTTTTTGCAGCCATATTTCAGGCCTGCAGGTTTTTCTTGCCAAGAAAAGTGATGTTAGAAGTAACCGGGACCAGTGGGGAAGAGCGAGCACAACGAGACCACCCAACTCCCCACTGGAGCACCCCAATGCAGACCAGGATCCTCCACCATAAAAATCAAAGGTCCCTCCTTACTCAGCCCCCAGTTAGGTTGCCACAAAGCCCCAAGCTCCACTGATCTGGCAGCAGCCTCCACTCCACAGTCCCACTCCTGATCACTCAGCACCCTGGGCTCTGAGGCTATTGTCAGATATTTGAATTGAGATACAAGAACAGAATATTTCTGTCCCTCCCTCCCTCTCCCTCCCCGGCCAGTCTGGCTCTTTTCTGATGGAGCGTGCAGCAAAATCACAATCACATGTTTGCAGCAGTAGGAGGCCATTGGCATGGAAGTGGCTGTGATGTCACTACAAACATTTCCACCCTATCCCATTTCTCCAGAACAGTCTCCGTTTTTATGACCCCATCCTGAGATCTGCAGGAAATCAAATTGTCCTGATTCTATTTTGAGCGCTGGTGTCATGGCATCAATACACAACGACGTGGTGTGGCGGTGCCGCAGCCCGTTTGTTTTGTGCAGCTCCACGGGCTGGATCGTGGCCCTGCGGGTGCTGCGCTGGCCGGGCTGGGGCACGGGGGACACGGGGGCTCTGCTGGCAGGACGAGGTGCCCATCAGCAGCCCCCACAGCCTGTCGGGGGGCACCAGCGGGGGCGCGGGGTCTGCGGTTCCAACAGAAAGGCGTCGGGTGCCAACCAGCCGCCGGGGGCTGCGGGAGAGCGGAGGGAAGAGCACGGTGGGAAGGCCCTTGTGCGGGGCAAGGGGAGATGCCAGCGAGGGAGGGGGATCTGGGGACGGAGAGATGCTGGCAGGGTGCCTGGGGCAAGAAACCAAATGGCAATCTGACCAGAACAGGGAGAAGCAGCACCCAGCATCTACAAATCCTTGTCTAAACGAGGATCACCATCCAACAGAATGAACCATGGGTCAGACCC